TAGGGCTACTTATCGACGCGTGGCGCGGTGCTCGCTCGTTTGCGCGCACGCGGTCCGCCCTGACCACCCCCGCGCTGATGGCCCGCCGACCCGACGCGAGCAGGCCGCGATCGCTTCAGACTCGTACGCACCACCACCACTACTGTGTGCCGTCGTCGGCTTGTAAAGGTCATGACGCTGTCACGGCCGGGCCGGGCAGTCCCCTCCTCGCCCATAACAGCAGGGAACTCGGGCGTTCCACACCTTAGACAGGGGGGCGCCCTTGAGGAGCCTCATGATGGTAGGTAACGTGAGGTGAGGAGCCCCTACTCATGCCCCCAGAAAAGCAAAACTCTAAACTAAAACTTCGATCAGGGAAACTGTTCCTGCTCTAGCGCTCCTGTAGAAATGTGGTGGATCTTAATTGAAGATGAGCGGGAATAGGAAAATTTTCTTGTATCCAAGAAAAGAAGGCATGCATTCGACCATGAAATAAACGAGAATGGAGGCGAAAATGACCTTGTCGTTTGTCAATGCAAAATTCCTCAAGGATTCGATTTTCCGGCTGTACGCCTACTGCCCACCCACTACGCTTATGCATTTGCCATGTCGCCCTGGCGACACGCGGAGAGTCACGGCACCTCGCCGCGTCCGAGTCATGGCACGTCAGCGACGAAATTGGCTGTGATCAGGCGCCGAAAGGAGGGGCTTTGGGAGAGAGCGCTCGCCACGGTCGTGCGACCAGCGGCGCTCGTCTGCTCTGTCCTGCCCCTGTCACTCCCACCCCTACATGTGAATACAATCACTTTTCTCTGCCGTCACGGCAAGGGCTGTCTCCTTCCGCTCTCCGCTATTCTTCCATTCCGGCCACCTACTCGTTGGCACTGGGGAGAGTTATTCATAGTTGTCATTATTGCACCCCTCCCCCCCCCCCTTTTTCCCCAGCTACCCCTTCTCTGCTTTCCGATCGATCGCCATATTGATCCTAGTCTGAGCGGGACTTTGTGGAGAGGGGGGGGGGGCAGAAGGAGTTTGCCACCGCGATTCCATGTCCAAACAAGAGGGACGCATGCTATTGACTGTGCGGTGGCCTCAGGATGCCTCGCACCTCGCGCCCCTGCCGACCCCGGCGCGCCGCGGCCCCGCCACCAGCAGCGGCACCCACTCCAGGAAGTAAATATAAGGCCGCGAAGCGGATTGCAAAGTGGCCGTATCGACAACCCATCATCGCGGTTGTTTTGTGCATTACGGGGGGAAAGAATTGAAACACCAACATCAGTGCGCGCGGAACGGGGAAAGAAGGGACGCGGGGGTGGGGAGGGCGCGCGCCTTTACCGGCGGAAAGTGGAGTACCGTGCCAAAGCGGCCCGCCCAGCCCGGACCGACCGTCTGGACTTCCCTGCCGGTCAACACGCTGCAAATCTCCCATCATGTAAATGAGCAGACGCGGATTGGACGGCGTGGGGGGAGGGTTACGGTTGGTGCCCGTTGGAACTACTGGGAACCCCCGTGCGACGACGACGTTCCTCCGCCCCCGCGCGCCGCGTTCCTTCCCCCGGCCCAAACGAGGCGCCCGCCTGCGCATAAGTTATTTCTGAGGAGGCCGGGGGGGGGGGTGATGAGGTGAAAGGGCAGCGGGGCGGCCAGGCCAGGCCAGCTAACAGGTGCTGTCCACGCGACACGACTACTGGCCGGGCCGGGTCACCAACACACAACACAACCCCTGACCTGTGACCCACTGGGCGCCGGGCGCCGGTGCAGCAGCACAATTACATCGTGGTCGCGCTCATCGAGAACATGGGGGCCGGGCCGGGCCGGCCACCACCACCGGGCCACTACTGGGGGGCGCCCTCCCGGGGCCGGCCCATTCCAGACCACTCAAACGCGCCACTCATTTCCCTTCGCCGGTAATCGCTCTGGGGCAGACAGGGAGGAAAAAAAGGGGGGTGGGGGGCATAGTCCGCACTACGCCTCGTTCTTCACCTGCATTTTCATTTTTTTTCCCCTCTGAAAATAATTTCCCTTCCTGGTGGTAACGTTGTTTTCGAGAGTATCGGGGTGAGTCGCTTCGCATTCGCTGGGAATAGTTCAATGGTTTTAAGGATTAAAATAAACTGCAGATGTTCTGTATATGTACATAATTGGAAATCACGAAAAATCTGTACGGAGGTGTCCACTGTCAGCAATCAGTTCCACGCGCATACATTTTACAGACAATCAGAGTAATAGCAAAAGAGTATCTGCAACAGTGATGAAAACGGCCCATAAACTTCCTCGGGTTCGTGATAAGGGATAAGGGATCGTCCGCGTGCGCAGAAAGTTCGTCCGTTTTTCTGAGATTCATTCAGCATATTACGGGGGCCAGGCGCCTGCGAGACTCCGTGTAGGCCAACCTGCAGTACACGCATGCATCGCATGCAAGATGTTGCCTAGCCTACCAGGCGCTACAGGGTGGGTGATCCGCGCCGTGGTTTTTTTCTGCTTATGCTGTACCGGATTCATGCGTGCGGGCGGGCTTGCCTATCGTCACTTGCCATGGCGCCTTACGGCCCCGTGCGAGTATGCAACCCGTCCGCACGCATGAATGCGGTACAGTATAAGCAGAAAAAAACCACGGCGCGGAACACCCACCCTGTATGAGCGCTTGCAGAGGCTAGACTTGGCATAGGTTCGGAACGACAAATGACGGACGTACTTTCTGGATGAACCCTGAGTAATCTGTACCGTGCCCGTCCTAATGTTCCCCTTTGTTTACAGCAACCATGGCGGAGCAAGTGAAGGTGGTGGTTCGCTGCCGCCCGATGAACGCGCGGGAGAAGGAGCTCAAGAGCAAGGTGAGCGGCATGACGACGTCTGACATCAGCACGACCCTCCACCGGACGATACGACTGCACTTCCATACCGACCGACCCGCTATAGGGGACAATCAGCGGGGGAGATCGACGGGGAGTGAGGGGGATGGAGTCGGGGGAGTCGTCCCCGGGGGACTGGCCCTGCGTCCACCCCACCCCTAACCCCTACCGAAAGGATTGTGTTGTGTTCGTGACTGTCGGACTTTCCAGAGGGGATGGGGTGGGGGCGGCGGGGGGTGACGGAGTGTTCTCGGAATGACTGGCTGGCTCAGTCATGTTAACCGAGATGGAGACATACCGCCGCATATATGCGGGAGAGAGAAAGAGGGTGACAGAGACGGCGAGCGACAGCGCGACAGGACAGGGACACCGGGAACAGCTCTGCATGTGTCAAGGGCGCGGCCGTTAATAAATCTCCCGCTTTTTCCATTGCCATTGCCGCCACGCCGGGGCCATACCGGACGGGCAATTAGAAGCGCGGCGGGGGGTGGGGTGGGGGAGGCCGCGGGTCAGGCGGCACAGCGTGGGCGAGGCACGCGCGGCGGGGAGGGAGGGCGCCCCGCGGCCCTGACGGGGCTGCAACAGCCAACGCGGGCCGCGATGAACACCCCCACTGCCTCCAAGGCAGAGGGTAGGGAGTAGAGCCCCGCAACGAGCGAGCTACGCGAGCTAGACCCCTTCTTCGGCGGGTGCATATGCGTACCCCGACCTCCCTCTCACCCGCCGGAGAAGGGGTCTAGCTCGCGTAGCTCGCTCGTTGCGGAGCTCTAGTAGGGAGTCTCGCACCCAGAGGACCGTTTAGTCCAGCACTTAATACAAAACCGACGAAATTTTAGCTCTGAAGACCCAAATTCATCCGTGGCGATGGCATAATTTAGTCCAGCTGACTTAATTTGATTGGTGCGGCCAAATTAAGTTAAAATGGTTAAAAAGGAGGTTCCTAATTTTTGTCGGTTTTAGGAACTAAATTTTGTTTCGAACAACCCTGATTCAGTTTTATCAACTAAATGGTTCTCTGGGTGCGGCCTCGAGACAGAGGGAGGGACGAAGACGGACCCGGCCTCGGGCTCATCCTCGCCGCCTCCTCGCCCTCACGCACAAAAGTGTTCGGGCAACTTGTCATGTGTGGTGTGCACCAAACGCTGCTGCTGCAGCTGAACCATGGCTCCGTTATTCAGTGTTTCCCACATTCTTCTTTTTCTCGGCTTTACCGGAATGGGTTATTGCGTAGCATACGTAGACTATGTAGTCTCTGTCTGTTCATATCCCATATCCCTCAACCGCGATCACTACACTCACAC